GAAAAGTGTTCGGAGACTACAATTAGTCCAGAATGCAGCCGCACGAGCACTACACCTATCCTCTGCGAGCTGCACTGGCTTCCTATTGGTCTCCGAGCACGATTCAAGGTGCTGATTATCACCTTTAAAGCCCTACATGGCCTAGGACCTGGATATCTACGAGACCGTCTTCTGCCGCACTCCTCCCTAAGACTGATAAGATCGCACAGGGTGGGCCTTCTCCAGATACCATCAGCTGGACAATGCTGGCTGGCGACGCCTCGGAGTAGGGCCTTCGCTGTTGCCGCTCCGGCCCCATGGGATGAGCTACCCCCAGAGATCCGGACCCTACCCACACTCATGGCCTTCCGAAAAGCTATCAAAACCTGGCTATTCCGGCTATTGACCTCTGGATTGAGACCCAGCCCCGCTTAGATTGGGTGCATGTTGTGTCTTTTTAAATCTGTTGTGTTTTATTTGTTTTTAATCTTTCTTAATATTTTTGTTTCTGTAAGCCACCCGGAGTCCCCCGGGATTGGGCGGCCTATAAATTTAATAAACAGTAACAGTAACCTGGAAATAAGGAGGAATTTTCTGACAGTGAGAACAATCAACCCATGGAACAGAAATTGTGGGAACTTCATCACTGGAAGCTGCTTGGGTGAGGGGGTTGGACTAGATGACCTCCAAAGTCCCTTCCAACCCTGTTAATCTGTAAAAATAAATTCTTTTCTGACCATTTGAGATGTCAGGTCAAGTCGTTCTTACGTATATCTTCTTCTGAATTAAAGTAAAAGTACAAATAACACATCAAATTGTAGCACTGTTTGCTACGGACATTATCATCACTGGAGGTTTTCAAAAAGAGACTGGAGATCCCTTTTTCTGGAATGGTACAGGCAGTCCTCGACTTACAACTGAGCCCCAAATTTCTGTTGTTAAGTGACACATTTAAGTGAACTTTGCCCCATTTTACAACTTTTCTTGCCACAGTTAATTTAGTAACACGTTTAAGTGAATCCGGCTTCCCCATTGATTTTGCTCTTCAGAGGTTCACAAAGGGGATCCGCGTGATCCTGGGATGCTCCAACCGTCATAAACACGAGTCAGTTGCCAAGGGTCTGAATTTTGATCCCATGACCACAGGGAGGCTACAATGGTCAGAAGTATGAAAAAAGCCACATTTCTCAGGGCCCTTGTAACTTTGAATGGTAGTAAATGAATTCCAGGAGATGCTTTTTTCAGGAGGCAACTGGACTTTCTTGTTTTTTCTTTAAAGATGTTTTGATTCTCATCCAAGAAGCTTCTTCAGCTCTGACTGGATGGTGGGGAATGGAAGGATTTATACCCCTTGCAGACAGCTGATAATTTGCATCCTTTTAGATGATGCACTTGGAGGTTTGTCTGTGTCCTGAGTGGTGCTCCTGGTTCCTGTACTCTGCAATTTTTCCTCTGAAAATCCATTCCTACTCCCACCCATTCAAGGGTGTACATCCCAAATTGCATAGCTAAAAGTCTATAGAGATTCTCCATCATCCAGGACATAGTTGTTCCAAAGGTGCTTTTTTTTTCCAGGAGGCAACTGGATTTTCTTTTTTTTTTATTTGAAGACATTTCGCTTCTCACACAACAAGCGTCTTCAGCTCTGACAGGAGAATGGAGAATGGAAGGATGCCAGTGACCATCTGTCTGCAAGGAATATAAATCCTTCCATTCCCCACCATCCAGTCAGAGCTGAAGAAGCTTCTGGATGAAAAGCGAAACGTCTTCGAAAGAAAAAAAGAAAAAGAAAGTCCAGCTGCCTCTTGAAAAAGCACCTTTGAGACAACCATGATCTGGATGACTGAGAATCAGGACAATAAACAAACTGTTGTAAGTCTGTTTGTTTAGTGTCTAGAGTCTCCGCTAGTGTATTTAGGGGAGACCCTAAGTCCTCGACTTACGACAGTATTTAGGGTCTCCCCCTTGCACTAGAAGATCCTCCAAGCTCCTTCCAAATATTTCTGCTCTTCTGTCACCAGGCAAGCATTCAGCATCCTATTTTGTCTCTTTCTTAAGGTGACCAGACATCCCGCTTTTGGCGGAACAGTCACAATATTTCACAATTTGTCCGGCGTCCTGCGGCGTTTTTAAAAAGTCCCAATTTTATTTTAGATATTTAATCAAGAAACACCCCCCCCCCCGTCAATGGTGTCCCTCCTTACCAGTGTTAAAATCTGGTCACCTTACTCTTTCTGCCTCCATTTGCTAGAGCAGAAGTCTCCAGAGTTGGCCACTTTAAGACTTGTGGACTTTTATTAGCAGAATGGTATGAATTAGTAGAATGAAATGAAATACTGTAAACAACGTAATAGTATGTTTTATTTACGATGTGTTTGAGTTATATCAATACTTCTAAAAATGTGTAAAGTATGTTAAATGTTGATCATATAAAAATTGAACTTGAAGATGTACGTTGCTAACAAAAAATAGGTGGGAAAATAAATGATTTATTTCCAAAGAGAAGGGAAAAAATGACATTGTTTATATATGTTAAAAATTAGAAATTGGAAAATAGAAAAAAAGTATACGGCTAAAATTGGAAATAATGGAAATATAATGTAGAATGAATTTTATGTTTGTGGAAATGTTAAAGGGGGAATCTGGACAACACTCTGTTCACAAAAGAATTTTTTATTATGTAACAAAAATAAAATAAAATAAATATTTTAAAAAGAGAGACTTGTGGACTTCAACTCCCAGAATTCCCCAGAAGTCCACAAGCCTTAAAGTGGCAGACCCCTGTGCTAGAGCGACAGGCTGCAATCGCCTGGGAACGAAAATGCTCCAGGGTTGTTGTTTTTTTGTTGTTTTTTTTGCCGACAGCAGGAAAACGTGGACACATAGGGACACTTCCGGTTACCCTTTGAAAGCCGCTCAGATAGGCTAGTTAAAAAGGAACCTCTCTAGCCCCAAAAACTCTTTGGCTACGGATATTCGGTTGGATCCGGAAGCAGCTATTGAGGTATTTAAATAAAAAAATGGTTTGACATGTCTCCATAGCGATAGGAAATATAAAGAAATAGAAACACTATCTACAGTCGGGATCAGAAACTTGCAAGTCCACTCTTATACTCTTCCAAGGGAGGCGACCCTCAGAAAAGAACGCACACGGGACGTGTAGTAAAGCAAACTCACAATAACTTTTTCAATGGAATGTTGCTGTCATGTTACGTCTGGGGGCCGATCTCACGGTCGACCACGAGCGGGCGACTCTTCTTTTTCTCGTAGCTCTAGGCGCGCCCCCTGTCGCGTAGGGGGCAGGACTGGGCGGGCGCCCGCGCGGTGACGTCACGCGCAGGGGGCGAACGTGACACGTCAGCGCTGCCGCTGGAGCCGGATGTTGCAAGATGGCGGCGGCGGCGGCTGGGCTAGCTGCTGCTGAGGCGACGGAAGGCGCCGGCGCTGGCGGCCGGGCGTACTGAGGGAAACCCTCCGCCGCAGGTGAACACGGGTAGAAGGAGGGTCGGGGACCCCGGGCCCGGCTGCGTGGTGGGCGGGCTTGATGTGGGTAGGAATGGAGCCTCCCGCTTCAGGAGAAGTCTACCTCATTGGGCGTCGTGGATGATTCCTGGCTCCTCCCTGAGCGGGAAAGGTCTTCCCTCTTTTCGGGCAAGGAGGATGATGGGGAGAGGCGACCACAGGCTCGATCTGCCACGTCCCCCACCCCCCACCTCGGGCGTTAAGACCTCCTCTCCCCCCCTTTGCGGGTCCCTGAAGGTCCTGGCTTCCCTGACACTGGTGGTCCTCGATTTACGACCACCCACGGACGTCCTCGACTTACGATCCCACAAGGCGCCCCCAAATCTGCTAAGTGAAGCGAGACATCAAGTGTTCTGTGAGTTTTTGCCTCGCTTTACGACTTTTCTCATCCCGGTTCTTTAAGTGAAACGCTGAGGTTGTTAAGTCAGTAATCTGGGTCATTAAGCAAATCCCCATGGACTTGGCTTATCAAAAGGTTGCAAAAGTTTTGATTATGTGACCCTGAGACAATTATATGACCGTCATAAACGTGAGTCGGTTGTCAAGCATCTGAATGTAAACTGAGTGGCCAGGGGGATGTGGCGAAAAGTAGTCCTTGGCCCCTTTTTTCCATGCTGTTGTGACTTTGAACTGTTACTAAGCTGTTGTAAGTCAAGGACTATTTTGCTTTTTTTTAAAAAAATCAAACTGACTGTTTGCAAATGAGGGTTTTCTTGGTCCATGAAGCAGAAGCACCCTCCGCATGGATACCCAGCAGCAGCTGCCCCTGGGCTGCAAGAAGAGGAAGGGGGTGTCAAGTTGGCTGCCCCTCCCATGAGTGGACACCCCCCTTGAGGAAGTGGCGTTCTGGGGGCGAAGAGGGGGGGCGGACTGCAGTCCATGGGCATAAATAGTGCTCAGCCTCTGAAACTGATGACATGCGACAGGTGATGTGTCAGGTACTGGAATACAGGTAGTCCTCGACTTACAACAGTTCATTTAGTGACCATTCCAAATTACAACAGCACTGAAAAAAGGGGACTTAGGACCAGTTTCTCACAGTTACGACCTTTGCAGCCTCCCCGTGATCGCATGATCAAAATTCAGATGCTTGGCTGCTGGTGACCGTTGCCAAGTCATGCGGTCCCCAAAGCCCATGGAAAAGCCAGATTCACTGAATGACCGGGTTACTAACTTAACAACTGCAGGGATTCACTTAACGGTGGTGAGAAAGGTGGTAAAATGGGGAAAAACTCACGTAAGAAATGCCTCGCTTAACAATGGAAATGTTGGCCTCCATTGTCAAAAGTTGAGGACTACCTGCAAATGCCCGTGTCCTGCAAAAAAAAACAACCATCATAAATCATGGCGATGTAACCCCAGGGACAAAGCACATAGCCATCAATGTGGGCCAATTGCCCGAGCGACCCAAATGAAGTCACATGATCAAGAGGAAGGCAGATGTCGCAACTTCAAATCTGGTCCCTCACTTAACAGAAATTTTGGGTTCAATTGTGATCATAAGTCGAGAACTACCTGGATCTGGGTTTTAGCCTTGGCAGCCTGGCCTCCATTAAAAATTTATGTGATTATTTTTCCTGATCCCTTGTCTCCATCCACACGTCATGCAGCTCTGAAAGGAGCAGGAGTGGAACTATCTCTCATCCCGAATGCAGGGTTACATTTGGAAGGCTTACGCAACACTTGTAGTGAAATGCACTTGTGCATTCTGAAATATCAGGATGTTCGAGTAGAGCTCGTTTCCCTTGGCCTTCCCTTGTTCAGGTTGATGTTCTCCACAATCAGACGATTAGTTTAGTAATTAGATTTCCTTGATGAATGGAGGTGTGTTATGTTGTGTTCACTTTTGACTTTGAATTGTTGGTCTTGCTAGAGACATAAACCACATTCAGTAGTTGTTGTTCAAACTTGAACAAGCTTGGATGGGTTGCCAGTGTTTTCGGAAACTCTCACATTCGCTAACATCGGGGTCTCTCATACAGCAGAATCTTTTTCTTTAAAATGATTTCTGTTCTTTTTAATTATAGTTAATTAAATTAACTAAACCTAATATGGGAAGTTCCTTATAAATAGTGTCACAGCCACTTGTCTACCCTCTTGTAAGAGGCTTGTTAGACCTGTTCAAGGCACTGAAGGCAGAATAAGATTTTTTTTAAAAAAAAATTGGAGCATTTATAATCACCAGCAATAAAACCAATAAAACAATTAACAATATTTTCTAATAGAGAGCTTTAATGAAAAAGATTAAGAAGTAAGTAGGGAGTTCCTTTTAAAATAGGTCATCTTTCAGACAGCAGAAAATAACATTTGAAAAGGCGCAGTTGGTGGAATGAGCTAGAAATTGGAGTTTCCACAAGTCAAATCTTAGCTGTTGGAATTTGGGGAACATAGCAGTTGCTGTGATGAGTGTGTGTGTGTGTGTGTGGCTGGCTGGCTGGCTCAGTTACCAGGTATTTGAAAACAGCTATCACATTCTATTCAGTTTTCTTCCCTAATGAATATAACCCAGTTTTTAAATTGTTCTTTGAGGAACTTTCTTTATGGCTGAGAACCTTTGTGCTTCTCCTGGCTTGCTTTGAGTATTGCCTTGAGTAGCCAAGATTGCACGGCCAGCACTTCAGATAAGATTTGTTTAATGCTGAATAAAGTGAATGTACGACTACGGTGCCTCTGATTTGGAGACCAGTTTTATTAATGAAATCTAAAAAGTGCACTAGCCTTAGCTGGGTCACTATTAGTGTCTGATCAGCTATAAGCCAGGGACTTTCTTGACGCCTTCAGGTTACAATTCCTCCACTGTTGTCTTTAAAGCGAAGACAACTTTAATTCATTTCTCTTTAATTCTCGTCTCTGCCTCATTCCAGTTTAAAACTTCATTTTTTTGCAATTATTTGCAAAATGGGACAAACATTTTCTGTGTCATTTTCACGTCTACGTCTGTCTTTTACTGTTAAGTCATACAGGTAGTGAGGAAAAAGGATAGGGGCTTCTTTTGAATGCTTTTCCTGTTTTTTGAGGAGCCAGTGACAGAATTACACGGCTAAACAGAATTTTGTACTAAGCAAAAAATGTGCTTTTATGTGAGTTCTTGTTACAGTGGTGGGATTCACACACCTCACTGAACCAAAGCATAGTGCATTATGTGTGAATCTGGTGTTCAGTTTTCCAGCCCACAGATGTTCATGTTATCTGTCCAAAATATTGCGGAGATGGCTTGTGATGTAGGCACTACAGAGCACAAGGTGTAACAGGCCTTTTAGAACAAAAAGTCTCAGCAAATATTAACAAAATCTGGGAGTACTTTCTTTTGCTTTGCCGAGGATTTCCAACAACCAACAACCCTCCCCCCCCAAAAAAAATGGTTAAAGGACACACAGAGAAAGGAAGACTAAATTAGTTCAATAGCTCAGATGTGTCCCTTAATTCCAATGAATTGCCCACCAAAATATTTGCTTCCCAGGTCTTGTGATGTCCTTGTAATTAAAAGTTAATTTGAAAGCAAATGACCAACAGTAACAGATGCAAATCCATGTCACGGGTGCAAACGTGTCTCTTGTCTCTGGAGATTTGCCAGGATCCTGACCAAAGGTTTTTGGGTACTCGAAAGGCATTGACCTACTTTTCAAGTCCTGTTTACCCAAATGTACTGGGAAGAAATAAGAGACTGCCCTTTCAATCAGGGCAAGAGATGGGTGTCATTCAAAACCCAGAGAAGGCTTCTGTGAGCATGCTTTTCTTTCTTGCCCTGCCCCATAGCTGAGTCTGATGGAGTTGGGAAGAAAAATCAGGCCTGCAGTCCATTACTAGAAAACGCTGCAGCTGAAGAGAAAGTACTGTTCCCTTAATCTGAAAGTACAGCACAAACAAGCAAAGCCTTTATCAAAGAACATAAATGATAGACCAGTAAGGGAGCAGATAAGCTTATTCAGGTGCCAGAATCCCTTCTGGGTTTAGCATTTATAAGATGAGAAAATCAAAATAGAGGCCTTGCTGTGCCACACGGTCCCAGCTTCATCCATAATCGCGGGTATTGTTTCACGGACTGAGAACAGGCGGGTGTTGTGTGGAGGAAGAAAAAGGCAGCCCTAAAATGCAAGAAGAGACGATGAATTGAGAGATTCCCGCAAGGCAGCCAGTCTAGTTAGCCTAAGCAGATTGTGCTTTATAAAACTTTACATACTTCAGATTTCCCCCTCCCTCGAAGATGATTATTTCATCTCCGTTAATCCACATCCTTTATGGAAAAACAAGTGGACGTACGATAGGTAGTCCTTGACTTCTGATGTCAATCGGGACCAGAATTTCCATCATGAAGGGATGTGGTCGTAAATTACAACCGCATCCCTGAATGACAGCAATCTCTGCAATCCTGGTTGCCATCATGAACTGAATTTCACAGTCATTAGGTGAGGCAGCTTCCTGCCAAAGTTAATGAAGAAGCCGGCAGGAAGTCGCAAGACCCAGACTGGAAGGTAGGTAAGTGGCTGCTGCTGGATGGGGAAAGGTGCAGGAGGGGGCCCCACGAGGCACCATGCTGGCCTGGGAGGATGCATGAGGGTGCTATGAGTGTGGAGAGGGGCGCAAGAGCGTGGGAGGCACAGTGGGGCTGAAGGAGGATGCACATGTAACGAAGTCCCATCCCAGAGGCTTGCAACCTTCCCTGCCTGCTTCCCCACTGACTTTCTGGGGAAGCCGCCAGGAGAACTTGCAAGTGGCCATCACCCAGTAGTGGAGATGCTGGAACAGCCGGAGGTCAATTGTAACACAGCTTGTTCAGTGCTGTCACAATTTCACATGATGGCTGAGCGAGCGGTTATATAGCGAGAACGATGCCAGTTACTAATTCCACTTTTCTGTCTTCTTCCCTCCAGCTTGCGCATAGGAAGGCAAGCCCGCCCCGCTCCATCTACTGCTCCTCTTCAGGTGGCAAGTGACTCGGCTCCACTTTGATCATGCAGCCCCCTCCTCAGACAGCCCCCCCGGGGGTCGGAGGCCCTCCTCCTCTCGCCCCCTCCTGGAACATGCATTGGCGAAATGGCCCCTATGGCAGGCATGCAAACGCCCCCACCTCAGCAGCAGCCGCGGCGACGGGACCTGTGCAACCGGTGACTGACCCCTTTGCCTTCGGCAAACAAGGCCCCCGCAGCTCCCCACTGAGCACCGCACCCCATGGAGACCCAGGCTCCTCTCCATTGGCTTTCCCTCCATCGGCTGCTCCCCTTCATCTCTCCTCTGGGCACCTTCCTCACGCACCTGCTCCATCGTTAACGTCTGCCTCAGCCTCCCACTCAGAAGCTGGGGGCTCATTTTCCATTCCCACGGCCTCCATGTCAGTCTACCCCAAAGGGGTCCCCAACAGCATCGAGATGCATCCAAACACCGAACACGCCTCACGTCCCCCAGTGGAACCACCTCAGCCCATGAGAATCGGCCCTGAAAATCCCCTTTCCGCTTCTGTCCCGGACAGGCCGCCGGGTGGGTCTGATGTGAGTAGGAATCCAGGCAACCTTGGGGCGGCCCCCCCACCAGTGCCGGCCTTCCCCCTCCTGCAACAGACGGTGCCTCAGTGGATGCCTCCCCAAAGCTCTGCGTATTTGCCTTCCCCGGAGCCCCTGTCCCGGAACGCCTTTGGGAGTGCTGCCCATTCCAGCATCTCCGTTTCCCAGCCGGGCCCTCAGCTGGATCGTCACCCAACTCCCCCTCATCAGCCTGGGTTCCCCAGTGCCCCCCAGGCCCCCTACATGCTCGCTGAGGCACCCAATGTGACTCTGCCCCCCAGTAGCACTTGGCAGAGCCCCGGGGGCCCCGGTGCGTGGGCCGGCCAGCTCCCCCAAGAACACTTTTACTTGCAGCCCCTGGAAGCGACGTATCCCTCGGGCCACCCCACTTCTCAGGAAAGCAGCCCCCCCGGCCAGGCTCAAGGGGGGCCTGAGGGAGGGAGCCGGCTGTGCCCAGACGAGGCCGATGCGGGGACGATTGCCATGTTCTTCAAGGGAGACGAGGCTGAGAACGAGGAAATCCTGTCCTCCGAAGCCAGTAGTCACATGGCCAGACCGGAAGTGGAGGCTTTCCAGCAGACCATGGGCCACACCTATTACCAGCCTTTGCACGGCCCGCAAGGGCTGCCAGCTCATTTTGCGCCAGCCCAGGCCAGTGCAGCTCTGGCGGCTGAGGCAACGCCCAATGAAGCAGATGCCCAGCGCTTCCTCAGAACAGCGGCTGCTCAGCAGGCCAGCGAGAAGGCCTCGTCCTTCCCGGGAGAGGACCGAGCCAGCCTCCTCGTCCCACAGGCAGGAAGCTGCTCTGCCAGCGGGCAGTACGAAAACGTGGAGAACCAGGAGTGCGTTCAGAACCAGGAGGTCTTGCCAAGGGAGCTCCTGTCGCAGAACCCTTCCTCCCCAGGGGCGTCGTTGGATTCCAGCCGCTACGCCTCTCTAGCCCCGCTGCTCCCCAAAAACCACGTCGGGAGCCACCTGGAAGGAGGACCCAACCTGGAGGCTCTCAGCGCCTTCCCACGGCCCGTCCGGCCCGACAGCGTCTCTTCCAACTATAGCAACTTGAGCCCCAGGAGCGCAGCGGGCATTGCCCGGCCGCAAGAACCGGGAACATTCATCCAGCAGGAAAGCGGGAAGCCTGAACAAGAGGCCTCCAGTGGCTTTTTTAAGCAGATTGACTCCTCTCCCTTGGGAACAGAAGTGGGGGAGCAGGAGCCCGGCAAGAATTACCATGCCCCCTCCTCCCAGGCGCCGACGCCAAGCCCTCCCAAACCCACGGGAGTCTTTCACACCAGTGTCAACAGCTCCTTTGAGCCCGTCCGGGTCCACAGCCTGGGGGTGAAGCCCCCGGAGACCGATCAGGCCAAGGTGGTGGCCGAGCTGAGAGAGGATCGTCCCAACCAAAGGGGCACGCAGAGAAGCTCCGCGATTGCTGTGGCCTCCCCAGGGAACCTGGAACAGCCTCCAGACAACCTGGAGACCCTCTTCCTGCCCCCAGCCCACTCCTTGCCCCTCTCCCTGGTGGCCGGCAGTGGGAGCCCCTGGCAGCTTCCTTCTGCTGGGACAGGGATGGAGAAGAGAGCGAGCAGCAGAGCTCAGGGCCTAGGGAAGAAGTGCGAGAGCCCAGCTACCACCTTGTGGGCACACAACGAGCTGCCCACTTTTGGGGGCAACGTGCTCCTTGCCCCCGCCGCCCCTGCGGTCTACGTCCCGGCCAAGCCCTCCCCGCAGGTGGTCCAGCCCCCGGAGGAAGCTTTGTCGAGCAAGCCGGGGGGGTCTCAAGCCGGAAGCCTCCCATCCGAAAATTTGGAAAACCCTCCCAAGCTGGGGGACGAAGAGGCGGCCGGCTCTCAGGGCAGCCTGGGTTACGCCAGCCTCCTTTCCTCCCCACCGACGGAGGCGCTTCAGAACCAGCCGATCTTGCTTGCCCAACCGAGTCAGTTTGGTAGCTTGGCTCCGGCTGCCAGCTCCTCTCTCGCCCTTCAGCTGGGCCAGCCCGAGAAGAACCCCTCAGCCAAGGAGCTGGGCGCCGGTGGGGCTCCTCTGCTGGGGAAGAACTGGAGCTGCAGCTTGTCCGGGGAAAACCCGCCTGGGGGCTTGGTTAACTCAAGCGCTACTTTCTTCCCCTGCCCGCTTAGCGCAGCTGAAACTGCTCCCCCCAAACCCCTGGGTCCATCTCAAGCCCCCCTCAACTTAGCCATGGAAGCCCCCCAGCCCCCTGCTGCAGAAGGGCTGCCTCTGGAAAGCGCTGGCCAGCCGACAACCAGCATTCCTCTCTCCCACGTCAGTGGCGGGACTCCTGTTGTGGGGCCCAGTGGTAGCCTTCCCGGCTGGTCTCCAAACGCTTCCCTTTGCCAGGAGCTTTCCAGACCTCTGGATCTGGCTGGAGCAAAGCCTCAGGAGCACAGCAGGGCAGGCCTTCTTTTGGGCGGCCAGACGTTTCCTCTGGCCCCTGGCCCCAGCGACCCCCAGGCTCGAGGCCCACAGCAGTTCTATCGGCAGGTAACCAAGGACTCAGGGCCCTCAATGCCCTTCGACCAAGGGGCGCCCTTGGAGCAGGCTCCGGCAGCTCCTCGCCACTCTTCCGTTTCCCCCAACCTCCAGATGCCTCCCGGAAACCCCCGTGCCCAGGCGCCGAGTCCGAAGCCTTGCCCCAGGGGTCCCTTGGAAGGCAGTCCGGCCCCCCCACCGCCCAGCCATCCTCAGCCGGGCACTGACTTCAGGCAGGATCCTCGCCTCCCCCCTGGCATGGGGCCTCCTCCTCCTCCTGGATCCACAGCCCCAAGTGGCCCCCAACCTGCTCGTCCCCCTTCGCGCCACGAGCAGCAGTACCCTCCTTCGCAGACCGCCTACGGCCCGCCCCCCAACTCCTACTACTACTACCGGCACCCGTACGACAGCTACACCTACCCACCGGTGGATCCTAGGGCTGCTCACCTTTACTTCCAGGTAGAGTGAAACGTGCTCTCTTCAGTCACCCTCAGGAGGAAACCTCCTGGGGGGGGCGTGCTTTGGGGGGGGGTGATCCTGGGTGGGATGGGGGTGAGGCTTTAGAGGTTCAGCATGCGTTCACATTCAGGGGATTTCTTCAGTGGAAACTCTTCCCACCAATGCCCAGCGATTGCAGAGGGCATTTTTTCAGACTAGGGGTTCCTGCTGAAGGCCGGAATGATTGGCCAGAGAGGAGGAGGTTCTGTCTTCCACAGCCTCCCCCAGGGGTGGCAAGTGGTGACAATCCAAGCCCCCCCCCCCAACCTGTCAGAGCTGTCCTACGCTTCAAAGGCAACAAATAGCTGTGAAAAAGCAGAGAAGAGAATGGGTTATAATCAGCTCGTGATTGTTTGATTTTTCCACCCTGAATTTTTAGTTTATTATTATAGTTTATTATATTTATATGCTGCCCTTTACCCCCGAAGGGGACTCATTTTGCTTCTGGATTCTTTTTCTGACGCTTCTAAAACCACCTTCGTCAATTTAGGTGGAAGCACAAATGGTTTTGGGTAAGAGAAAGCTCTCAAAAATTGGTAGAATGCTGGGGTGGGGGTGGGGAGAGATTTCTGGCAAAAGGGCCATCAAAACATTTTATGTTTAAAACCAGTATACAGGTAGACTTACATCAAAGTCCCAACGGCACTGGAAACAAGCCACTGGTCTCCCTCTGTCTCTCTCTTTGTCCAGCCTACCCCACAAGGCTGTTGTTTTAGGGGAGGAATTGGGGAAGGCCCCTGAATGTGGGATATAAACCGCCCGCCCATCATCCTCATCCTCATGATCCCCAGAGGACTCAGCTCCTTACCAATCCATTTATGTATTTATTTGTTGGCCTTTGGGCAGCTGGGTTTCTTCTCGTGATCCTTTGATTTTTCACCCTGAATTTGCTTTTGGGTTCTTTCTTTTTCTGATGCTTCTGAAATCTCCATCAACGTGGAATCCCATCTGCTGAGAGAGGAGCCTGGCCAAACGTTCGGCTTGCCTCTTGCCTCGCTCCTGAGTTAATGTAATCTTTCTTGTCTCTTGGAGGATGCATATGGCCAGTACAACACTTCCTACAACCAGTATGACCAGTCTGCTGCCTATCGAGACACGGGGAGCTACTGGTACACGGAACCAGAGCGCCCCAGTTCAAGAGCCAGCCACACTTCAGACAGGCCCCAGTCAAGGTAAGGAGACTGCCAGTGCTGACGCCTCGAAGGTATTTTTGCAAAAGAGAGAAGAAGGGAGCACTTAATATAAACGCTTTTGTTGGCCCCACTCTGGAAAGTGCATGTTGTGGCCAGCCAGCAAAGCTGGTGGCAGATTCGAACAGTGAGGAGGTTGGGGAGGAACCTGGGCCAGTCCTGGAGTCTGGGGAAGGCTCTGAGGAGGGCTCTGTGTCGGAGGCAGAGAGGGGGACAGAGCCATATCCCAGTTAGCAGCTGCCTTCAGAGCCAGACATCAGTGAGGCAGATGAACTTCTGGAACCTGT